TATGGATACTGGTTTAGTTTGCAAATGGATGTAGATTTTGAATATGGATATTGGTATAGTTTGGTTTAAAATTGGATTTTGATTTAGAGTATGGTTTAATTTGGATATTGGGACATCAATATGGATTTGGATTACAATCTGGAATGCTTGGATATGGGCTTAAAATGTGGACTTGGATATTTGAATATGGATTTAAAAAATGGATATAGATTTGGAAATAAATATTGGTTGTGATTGGATATAGAATTGGACAATTGAATTGTTTTTTGAAAAATGGTTTGGACTTTGGATTTTAGTTAGATATTAGGTTTAGAAAATGGGTTTAGATGGTTTGAAACGTGGATTTAAAAAATGGTTATGGATACTCTAAATTTGAACTTGAGCATGAATTTGAATGATGAATGATGATCAACTTGAATAATGTCTTTGTTAATTTAATCCCAAGAAATCCACTTTAAACATTCAACCAAACCTTGAAAACTTTGATCAAATTGATCTCATGGAATCACTTGAATGAAACTTCCTTTCAATGCAACTTTAAGCCCATTCCCAAAACACAAGTAACTTGTATGACAAGCCATAAGCAATGAAGGTGATAATAATTTCTTGAACACAATGAATCCATTACTTCATGCCTTGACTTAATAATCAATACCATAGTATTTCCTTAAAGAATCCTTGAATGTGAATGATACTTGACATGAAACCCTAAAATGATCTTCAGTTGATGAATGCTAACAAGCTCAATCATGATGAGCAACAAACCATAATCCTCTCCTTAAGATGTACATTGATATAGGAAAACCTTGTAGCTTGATGAATCTTGACAAAAATGCTTATAATGTTCATGATGATATGAATTCAAGCCTTGTCTCAACTTAAATGTAGTAGGAATCAAATGAATCATCTTTGAATAGGGAAAACTCAAATCACAAGAAATCATTTGATTCCATGCCAATTTATTGATTAATGATGCATGATGTGTAAAAATGATCTAATGTATAGTGTGCATATGAGGAGGATGAGATGCATAGGCTACTAGGTTTGAATGAAAGGGTAGGTAAAATTTTGGGGTATGACAGTGTATGTCAATGATGCAAACAGGGTCAGTCAAACCATTTTATGCTTGTATGTAGATGACTTGTTGGTTACAAGTGCAAATGAGGCAGAGATAAGAAAAGTCAAGTCAAAGCTGATGCAAGAGTTTGAAATGTCTTACCTAGGGAATTTTTAATATCTCTTAGGGATCTAGTTCAAATACATAAGTGAAGGAGTGTTCCTGCACACAGAAAAAGTATCCCCAAGATATTTTGAAGAGGTTCCAGATGAGCAACTATAATGCATCTTCAACGCCATTACAAACTGAAGCAAAGATGAGGAAGGAGACAAATGATGAGTTTGTGAGTGCAACACTATATAAACAAATCATTGGATCTTTGAGGTGTCTTTGCAATACTAGGCCATACATTTTTCGAAGTGTCAGATTGTTAAGAAGATTCATGGAGAAGCCTCAAGAATGTCATCTAACAGCAGACAAGAGAGTGCTAAGAGACATCAAAGATATGATTAATCATGGTGTGCTGATGTCGAGGAAAAAAAAGACCAGAACAGATTCAGAAGTATATGGCTACACTGATTCAGATTTCAATGGAGATCAAGACGAGAATAAAAGTACTGCAGACTACACATTCATGATTGCAGGTGCGCCAATATCATGGATTTCAAGAAAGCAAAGCATTGTGACTTTTTCACCTTATGAAGCTGAGTACGTGGACGCATCATATGCAGCATGTCAACAAAGGAAAGCTTAAACTTGACCATTGCAAGACAGAATGGTAACTAGTTGTCATACTCACCAAACCCCCAAAGTAAGTCAAGTTCGACGAGTTGAAGAAAAGCATCGGGATGAGAATCTTAAAAATATGAATTAGGGGGTGTGTTAGAATTTTTAATTTGATGGTTTGTAGAAAATATAGTATTTAGCTGTGTAGAAGTAGTTATTCGAAGTATTTGACAGAGTTGAATACAACATATAGCTGTTGTGATGGCTAAAATATAAATTTATATATTTTGAGTTTGGGTTGTATGTTTTTTGTTCGGGCCTTAGTATCCTATATATAGGCATATATTTATAGTTTTCAAATAACAATTACATTGTAATCATTTCTATTTTACTCAATAATATTATTCTCTCCCTCTTTTTCTTCTTAAGTCTAATTGTTCCATCAATTGCAACAATAACCACGTTTTTCAAAACTTAACACCCATGTTTTTTTCTAAACTTAACTACCTCTTATGCATAAAAAAATTCATCGTTTTGCAAAACTTAGAGTGTATTTGTTTAGAGTAATGAAATAATATTCTTTGGAATCATATTTTTGGAATAATTATTTTCAAGAATAATATTTATATGGATTTGTTTGGTCAAAAACTGAATTTCCTTAGAATGTTTATGTTAGATCTTGTGTTGGGGGTCTGCTGCAAAACATGGATAAAAAGAAGACAAAAATTTGTATGATGAAAGTTGCATGAAATAAATTCTAAAGTGTGTGTTTATATTATGTTTTAGATTCGATTCTTCCCGCCAATTTAGGCACATTGGATGCAAATGAGTAATCTGACGTATCCCTTTCAAAATACTTTAGAAACCTTAACATGAATCACACATTCACATTAAATATATTGATCAACAGTATTTTACATAATAAAGTTTCTTCACTTATTCTCGTGCACTAGAAAAATAAAGGAATGACTTAAATATATATATTTTGACTCTTGAAACATGTATTTTTGTGTATATTTTTAGTTTGCACAATATTTCTATTTATAGAAAAAATCGTGTCACTTGGTGGAGGGAAGCATTGTTTGAATCATTGGTCATTTAAAATTGTTACATACATTTTTGTTCAAATTTCTTCCAAATTAACGCATTAGTTTAGAAGTTGATGCTTTAGTTCGTATGTGTCTTTTGACTGAAATTTCCCCAGTTCGAATTTGGATGGGTGCAACTTTTGGTATTATTTTTGTCATTTATTTGTTAAAACAACATATAAATTCCAAAACACAACCAAACCAATTGACGAACTTGTGACACTTTGATTCTTTATACAAAGTCTGAACCACTGCGCTATTAAAACCAATTGTGATAAAAAAAATTCATCAAATGAATTTACTCATTATTATTCCTCAAATAAATATTTTGGAAATCTCTCCAACAATCCCCCACCATTTTCAAAATATATCTAAATCTGTTATTAAAAAAATTTCATGATTTCAAATAAAGGTATCTTACGATTTGAATCATTACTTAGTAAACTAAGTTTTCACTCATCCTCGAATAGATTGGTAGACAAATTTTGAATCAATTATTCATTAGAATAAGCGTGTATAAATCACACATGAAATCTCAGTATCATTGATTGAATTATCAATATGACACATTTAATAAAGTCTTGTATCTCATATCCTTTTCATGAGAATTTTAGAGTTAAATCATTGAATTCTATGAAACAGTACCCTTTCATTCTCATATAGGTAGACTATATCGGAAATGCATTCATAATTATGCATTCCAACAAACATATGTTATATGTTTATTTCGTCGCTAATTAGACGAAAAGGACAAACATGACACGTTTAAAAAGTTAAGGAATCAATCTGACACAAAAAATAATTAAGGGACCAATTTGAACCCAAAGGTATAGTTAAAGGATAAAAAGGATATTTTACCTATTTTATACTTATATAATTGGTGTCCTTTAAATATCCATAGGTATATGTACCAACTTATACTTCTCTTTTCAGATGGAGTCTGGGATAATCGAACGATAGCGGGATATTTGAGGGATAGCAGAATATGGAGGCATTATTAGAAGAAATGAAGGAGAGTGACTTGGAAATTCTCAAAACATATTGGAGTCTGTGATGCATATATAGTTGAGATGTGGAGTGTTATAAAGTCTTAATCTAGAAATTGGCTTGGGTTTACTAAAATTGATATTTGTGTGGACTCTTTTTAGGTTGTCCAAAATATTAATACTAATCATACTAGCAACATTTTGGAAAGAAACCTTGTTGCAAAAATAAGGTCGTACTTCCAACCAGACAAGGATACCCATGTTATTCATGTCTATCGGAAATCTAATTTAGCAAGGAGTCCATTGTTCTAGAAGAATATGTCTGTTGGATACGTTTCTCATATCTTATTATACACTTGTTTATGAATGATTTAGCTGGTAATTCTATTGTTAGATTTGTTCAGCTGTAATTTCCTGCTTAGGCCCTCCATTAAAAAAGATAACAATTTATATTTCTCTTTTTCATAAATGCACGGTCTGAACTCGTGATATTTCAATTATAAAATTTGAACTCGTGATATTTCAATTATAAAATTTAAACTATCTGAAAAAAATTTATTCTTTTAAATAATAATTAGGAGTCAACCATTTTTCAAACTCCCTTTTAAAAAAAGACGATAATTCAAACACTTTCTTATATATGGAATTGAATTGATTATTTAAATATCAACATTCCTTTTTTTTGAAAAAAAAAGGATCAGCATTCCATTTACAAAACCAATATGAGTCAAACAAATTGTAATAACTAATATTTATAATAAATTCCATAAAAGAAAATAACAATTCATTTGTTTTATTTTAATATTAAATTAAATTAAATAATAGTTTAATTGATGTGTACGGGTGTAAAATAGTTTTATAGTGTCATTCAACAAAAAAAATCTATATTCTGTTCTGTTATTAATTTTTATTTTTAAATATTAATATGATAAATCGGAATATATGATCGTCATTAATTAATTAATTAATTAATAATATAAAAATAATTTATATTCTCCGTATATTATCTATTTTCTCTTTAAATTATCCGAATATTTGTGAGTATAATAAAACATCAAATCCCAAAACCTATCATTTCCAACAACCTGAGAAAGAATCACTATCCATGAATGAGAACCAAAATTCATCGTAAGAATCCATCGCATGGCCACGTTATCATTAAAAGAGAAGAAAAACACGAACGAGAATGGTGTGATTATCAAATATTACGTTGAATCAGTGAAAAATCGTTCCATGAAGAAAACAAAACCGAACGAATATCTTAGAAAGGAAGAAAAGCATGGCTACGAATATGATCGTCGTGCTCAGCTTCTTGCTCATTCTCGATATCTTAGAAATCCAACGTCAGAAACGGTTTCGTTACCTGTTATACAATCAAGACCTAAACCTAAAAGCAAGGTAAATTATTTTCTGTATTTTCTTCCCTGAAACTTATTTAAATATTTCTAGAGATTTGACTCTAACCTAATTTTCAGTTTATATCGTATCAACCGGTTCGAATCTGCTCGTGCTCGGCGTCAATGGAGACTGTTCCGAGCTTAACTATCCGGAGCAGAAATGAACTCAAGGAGAAAAAACAAGATGACCTATCTGAGAAGAGAAAGTTTAATGAAAAATACTCTCCCAGGGTTTTGGTAAGACTGATTATTTAATTTTGGGTATTTCACTTTTTTGATTTTTGATTATGATTTGAATTCTTTGTTCTATATTTTGGTTTTGATTGATTTGCAGGGTAAAATGAATAGCCTGTGGAAGCAACTGTCATGCAAAGAAATATAATGGTGTAAAAGAAAGATTAATTTTATTGTACTGTGCACTTTTTTTTAGATTAATGAGTTTCATCATATTTCATGTAATTTAATGGTGAAATTTATTGATTTAGTGGTGTAATAAATGACAGTACGGTGTTTTATTTTATGTATTAGAATATTTGATAATGTTCTCGTAAAACAAACATACTCACTAAGTTGTTTGTTATAAACAAAAAATTTGCTTATAATAAAAATAACGGATAGTACAAAAATATGTCTCAGAATGTTGGACAACCTTAACTTTATTAGACCAGCACTCGTATATGAAAAACAGCACATCATTAGCTGCTTCCAGACTAACAAGATGTTCAATAAATCATTAAGGCTACCTTTAGATCAGAATATGTATCAAACAGATGCATGTAATTTAACTGTTATATAGTTATTCAAATACATATTATGATTCAATGTTGTCGATAGCAAAAACAAACAGTTTGTTCAAAATTTGTAGCATTGTATAACCACTATTTGATAATGAATGCTAAGAAGACTCTTTTTAACCCTCTCAAACACTCAAATTTTACTAAAATATAGCACCACTATTTGATAACACTAATTTGAGCTCTGATTTCATTTTAGTATTTGTCATTGCATTTGACTTATAAAATACACTCTTGATTTTAAGAAGTTAAATCCTAAAAATAGAGCAAAACTTAGGGATGCAGATCCTCTCATGTGGTTGGATAGGTTCTGTACGATCTCAACCACTCATCTCGGTCTACCCCATGCGATCAACTCAACGACATTAATTGTTGAATGAACGATTGAGATTAGCGCAATAAGAAATATGAGCAAAAGAAAATCAATTTTCCTAATACTGTCAAAAATGATTTGTTATACAATAATTTAAACTGTACAGTAATAAATCATCACAAGAAGAATAATGCGTCATTTTCAAAATAAAATTATTTGAGACATCCACCATGTCCCTGATAACCTGTTCAATTAAATTCACCAATTTGCATGGCCCAATGATAATAATTATGATCTGAATCTCCTAAACCTAAAAGTAAAAGAGGCAACGAGCATTCTAAATTTGCCTTTTGTACAGTCTATTTGAAAACTGAAAACAGGGAAAATAACTGGAGGTACGAGTGAGGATGGTACACAGCTAGAAAGATGGCCAACCGCTTTACTCTGGCATAGCAACAAAACAAGCCATGTCAAGGCCATTCGTGTACTATATTGTTGACGAAGAGTGACTCCTTCCCCACATTTCAGTAGTTCTCTATTAATTTACCGGCCCGCATTCAGTATCCTGTGCCTCCCTCGTCTTCTAGACCTTCCCAACAGTAGCCTGTGGAGGCCCCCTCCAGACAAAGCAGCAGAATCTGTAGGCGCAACTCTCCTGAAACCAACACGACCCTGATTATACCTGATGTTTGACAAAAAGCTGCCAGGTCCGCCCATCATGGAGAAGAAATCACCATCATCTTCCCGAAATCCAGAATCAGAATCAGAATCAGAATCAGTCTCATCGCTGTAAAATGCATGGTCATTTGGCTCGAGCACATAATCCCCCAGTACCATAGCCCCTGGCGTTGAAGACAAAATTGTGCTGATCACATCACTCCGTTCTCTTTCACACTCGAGTCTTTTCCATTTTTCTTCTCGTACAGGGTCCACTTCTCGTGGTCGCGAAAATGGATGCTTAGATCTAACATGTTTCCTAAGCTCCTTGTAACTCCCCACAAAAGAGCAGTCATCTTGCATACAGCTTCTTTTCTTGGCATTCAAAGACTTCCGAGCTGCTTCAACCACAGTCCAACCCTTCACCTGCCGGCGGCAAAGGGGACAAAGAAGCTCGGGAACTTTTGCATTGTCACTGCGTTCACCAGCACTAGAATCAAAAGTCGAATAGTCTGTTAATTGCTGCGAACTAACAGAAGTTGCTTTTGTGTACGCCTTTTTATACTGTTCAAAACAGTTAGAATAGCGACGGCTAGTAGCACACATATAAGGGCGACAGCCCTTGTTATACGATGAACAGAGGAGTAGGATAGCATTATGGGGAACTTCCATACAGACTGAGCAGGTAGCACCTTTCCAGTCTTTCTTTTCAACCTCTTTAGAAAAGCTCTTAACATTTTTCATATTTTTTCTTGGACAAGATAAAAGATATGGGGTTTCCCTGTGACCTCGAGACCGGGACTTGCACCGCGTCTTACCAACTTTAGCCATTTTAAAACTGAATCTGGAACTAATCAGAAGAAAAGCATGTATTAAAAGAAAGAATTTCAAACACAACAAATTAAAATGATGAACATTTCAGAACAAAATAAATTAAGTGTCCAACTCTGAAGTACATTTCTGATGTGAAATCATTTAGATGACTTTGTAGTAAGGCTAGCCCCAAAAATGCATGCAAAAAATCAAGTAATACATTTATTATCTGCAGCTCATGTAGTACTAGTCACAAATGGCAGTACTAAAAGTCAAAAATCATATGAAGCGCGATCTAAGTAATTGACTACTAAAATACTTTATATTTTCTAGCAGCAATTAGCACTAATCATATGATTCATAGCTAAACTGGTAGAGAAGGCACAGCCCAGTTGAAACTCAATCATAAGCTCGCCGCTATATTTATGATACAATGTTCACTCTTCAATGCTTGATTTGTTGCACTTAAACAAAACATATCTAATCATCTGATAGAAACTGGTTCTTTTACAAAATAAAAATGGGACAATTTCTGATATTTATTGGTACAAAACAGATATAACACAAACAGAATGACAGGGAGCAGTTTGGTTCCTTCCAAGAATTCGAGAGTCTTGGATCTCTCCCTTCCCAAATGTTCAAAAGTTGGGTCTCTCCCAATAATGACTCACTAAATCCCTATAACCCACTATGCTTTGCTATCTTCCTATTTAATGAGCATAACTGCCTATAAAACTTACACACATTAATTAACTAATTAATAAAATGTAACTGACAGAGATAAAATAGTAACGGCTAATATAATAACTGCATGGCAGAATAGAAATGGTTCCTAATAATTCTGAAGGTCTAACAATACTTCCCCCAAAAGATTGAAATTGTTTGTTTGCACATATATGTCCAAGGCTAAACTTCTCATCACATCAAAAACTTAATCCTTTAAGTGATTTATCTTGCAATTCTGCATCTGTCAGCCTTCTAAAGCCTTTGCCTTTGCAAAAATTTGGTTGTGACTGATTTGCCTCACATGTGGAACTTGCAGCACTGAAAACAGTTTGTGAAGGACTTTTATTTCCAAGATCACATGTCACAGCCCTGCTATTTTTTTCATCCACCCTTTGTCATAATCCATTAATTCAGATAATCTTTCAACTGGATGAATTAGTTCAGCCCTTATCACATCTTTGAGTCCATTCAAAAAAAAAATTCTTTTAAGTAAGACGGCTCTCTATATCTCAGCACTTTTCAGGGGGCCTGCATATAGGTCAAATTGCTCTCTATATTCTTCCAGTGTTCATGTTTGTTTGAGACTCAGAAACAATGCAAAGGGACTTTGGATCATTGAGGGTTGAAAACGTTTAAGGATGGCTGTTTTGAATTCCTCCCAAGTCGAGTTTGGTGACGACACCTCCCACTATTGATACCATGCAAGTGCTTAGCCCTCCATGGCTACCATCGCTGCCTGCAATCTCTCTGTTTCATCCACTCGCTTCAGGTCAAAATAACGCTCGACATGTTTCAACCAGCCGCCTGCATCCGTCTTCGGCATTCAAAATTGAAATCTCCAATTCTCGCCATCTTTCTTTGCAGCCATGGATGTCAGTGATTCACAGACACATCCTCTTCATCAGTTTGGTCCCCGTTGTGTCGTGATCCTGCTGGACTTTGGTGCCTCATGCGACGAACAGTTTCAACTAATTCCGCCATTGGTCGTCTAACCTCCATTTGCTCCACACGGTCTTCTTCGCATTGTTTCTCCATTGGTCGTCTAACCTCCATTTGCTCCACACAGTCTTCTTCGCATTCATTGCCAACAACGCTTCAAATCCACGATCGAGAATTTCAAACCTGGCCTCCATTTCCCCTGCGTAGATGCCATAAAGCAGTCCTGGAAGGAAACTGCTCTGACCAGTTGATAGAAACTGGTTCTTTTACAATAAAGTTTGGGACACTTCTGATATTTATTGGTACAAAGCAGAAGTAACACAAACAAAATGACAGGGACCAGCTTGCTCCCTTCCAAGAATTCGAGAGTCTTGGATCTCTCCCTTCCCAAATGTTCGACACTTGGGTCTCTCCCAATAACCACTCACTAATTCCCTGATAATCCACTATGCTTTGCTATCTTCCTATTTATTGAGGATAACAGCCGATAGAACTTACACATTAATTAACTAATAAATAATGTGTGTGTGTGTGTGGAAACACTCACCAAAAACAGAAACAACACCCAGAAAAACTAAATTACATGACTTTAAAAAACAGAATTATAAAAAAGCAAACTAGAATTGATGTTTCAAAACCACAGAAAAACATAATAATAAATTGAGAATTAGAAAAACAGAACTTTCATTAACTATTTCCATCCAGGGTCAATTCTCTTTGAACCAACAGCCCTAGAGGTTTGGGAAGTTTCTTCCTTTTCAGACATAGTATACATAGAGTTAAAAAGAGCCAAAAAAATTAAAAAAAGAGTACTATAAAAACAAAACAAAAAACAAGGAGAAAAAAAAACTCTAATAACAGAATAACAGACGGAAAAAAAAATAAGATAGAGAATAGAAGGTTGTAAGAGGAAAACAACACTGAGGGAGAAGAAAAGAAATGGTGGAGAATAGAAAGTTTAAACGTTTTTAGTCTCGTTAATATCCTCAGTTTAACAGTACTGCAAATAGTAGCACTACCATTAACTGTTTGAGAGATAAAATGATGGAAAGCAATATCCGATCCAAACAGATCCATATCCATTTACAATTCTTCCATTCCCACAAGTGAATAAAAAAAACAAAGCATCCCTATTTTTTTTAATAATAAATAGAGAATACCAATCCAGTATACAAGAAAGAATAATTCTTAATCTCTGCCAATTAATGAAAAAGTCCTCGAATCCATTTCTAGAAAAGGCAACAAAACACTCATACTTACCCTAACAAATCATCCGAAATTTAATCATCCACGCAAACCAAATTATTCAAAATTCAGATTCATCTAACAATACATTTCATAAATATATACTATGGAAGAAACTCTCTTGTACTATGAATCCCATCACTTCAAAAAGTGAAAATGAATCACAAAGTTATGATTCCAAACTCGAGCAATTCAACGCCAAAATTGTAACCTAGTCTAAAAACATATAAGATCGCTGGTAATTCAAAAACCGTAACCGTCGAGATCTAGCATCTATTATCAAACAAAATCATATAAGAACAGTTAAACAAAATGCAACAGAGATCGGAAAATCGAAGAGTGTGGAAAAGCATCGGAATAATAAATCAAGAAAGTATATTACCTGGAAGTGATGGAAATATGGTTAGAGAAAAATGGCGAGATTGAAATGAAAGGTAATCGGAGAGAGATAGAGCGATCTTCACGTTCGCGTTCTCCAGAATGCGGAAAAACTGCCTCGGGTGACGTATGATGCAACAACACCTAAACCATATGCTGTGTTGATCTATTCTACTTCTTACCTTCTTTCTCTCGTCGTAACAGCGCCATTCATAATGAAGGATAGGGTATTATATATGGGCCCGTGAGCCCATTAAGTTGCTTCTATATCGGGGCCCAGTTTCTAGTCTTAAATTAAATTTGGAAGAAAATATTGTTATTCCAACTCCGCAAAATTTGAAAATTACTAAAATTCCTTTTTAATCTATCAAACTTGTTGTTTTTAAATTCCTTCCCATGGTCACTTTTAATTCTAACTATGCCACAATCCTTCTCTCTTTTAAGTTTTTGACAAAGTTCTTTAAACACTTCAAACACCTCAGACTTCTCTTTGATGAAATTCACCCAGGTGAAACTTGAGAAGTCATCAACCACAACATAAGCATACCTTTTTTCTTGAAGACTTTCAACCTGCATAGGTCCCATCAAGTCCATATGAAGTAGCTCCATAATTTTTAAAGTGGTCAGATGTTGAAGCTTCTTATGTGACATCCTTATCTACTTTCCAATTTGACATTCACCACAGACTCTTCCTTCATCAATTTTTAGATTAGGAATACCTCTGACAACTTCCTTTGACAAGACTTCCTTCATCCCCTTCAAGTATAAGTGTCCATGTTTCTGATGCCACATTTTCACCTCATCTTCTTTTGATATAAAGCAGATGAAAGAACACTTTGTTTCTAGAGGAGTCCATAAGTAACAATTATTATTAGATCTGGCTCCCTTCATGACAACTTCATCTTTATCATTTGTTACCAGACACTCAGATTTAATAAAGTTAACCTTGAGACCTTGGTCACATAGTTGACTAATACTTATCAGATTAGCAGTCAGCCCTATGACAAACAACACCTTATCAATACTAGGTTGCCTAGTATAGTCCAGCTTCCCAACACCCTTTATTTCACCTTTTGATACATCTCCAAAGGTGACATAGCTAGTGGAACGTGGTTTAATATCCACCAAAAATTTCTTGACACCAGTCATGTGTTTAGAACAACCACTATCAAAATATCAGTCTTTTCTAGCAGAAGCTCTTTGATCGCAGAAATAGCAAGTGTACTATTCTGTCGATTGTAGTTAAAATAAGGGAGTTATCCCCAGTATCGAACTCAAGGACTGGATAGGCAATATAAGCGTAATTTGTATTCAATCAAACAAAACTCAATTGGGGTTTTTTAGATTTGATTTAAGAATAATAAATGATAATATTTAAAATAAGGCAAACGAAGGAATAAGGTTTAACAAGATATGAGGGCGAACTAGGGGCAGTGTATGAATTGCCTCTCATAGTAACAAAAGTAAATTCAACAATTGGATTTAATATTACAAGGGTGCTTAGGGATTATTTTAATCTTCAATTGCTTCCGCCTTTGAAAATCTTCTGTTCTCCCTTTGCTCTTGAGTGCCTAATCCTTCTTGTCAAAATCTTTCCTTCTTCTTAAAATATAATAGTTAAAAAGTGTCTTTCTCTTTGTCTAAATGTATCTAAAACTATTAACAGATCCAATACTGAAGTTAGGAAATTTCGAAAATACCCTCAGGGGTCAAAACAGACAAAAATAACA